GGCAAGGGCAAGCGCCCCTCGTCCGCCTCCGCCGGGGACGACCCCTTCTTCGAGTCGGAGCCCAAGCGCCGCCGCGCCCGCGCGGACGAGGACATCGAGAGCGGGGACAGCGACGACGACGCCCTCGCGCTGGGCGGCGCCGTCGTGGGCGAGGATGAGGAGGAGGAGAAGGAGGACCTGGAGACGGCCGGGGAGAAGAGGTTGCGGATGACCAAGGAGTACCTGGAGAGGATCACCGACACGGTGAAGAGGAACAAGGAGGAAGAGGAGGAGGAGGACGACGAAGATGACGACGAGGATGATGGTTTGCCCGGGGGGAGGCGGGTCGCCAAGCTCCTCCGGAAGAAGCAGCTCGTGGAGAGCGGCAGGCAGCGCCTGAGCCTTGCCGCAAGGTGAGCAGCAATTCTCTGCGAATTTAATCTTTTATAGAAATTTTAGTGTCCTTCCATTTTGCAACCCGGTTGTTTTGATGCTATATAGGCACCTCCCTTAGACTGCCTTGCTCAAATCAAAATGATGCAGTAGGATTTTTGACCTTATGTATGTGACAAGGCATTGCAATTTGCAGGGTGTTACCGCCGGGACAGCAGGATGGATTCAAATTTATAGCCAAGCACCGGCAGCCAGTGACTGCCGTTGCTCTGTCGAAGGACAGCGACAAGGGGTTTTCGGCGTCCAAAGATGGAGTTATCCTCCATTGGGATGTCGAGACCGGGAAAAGCGAGAAGTATTTGTGGCCAACTGAAAAGGTGTTGGTTTCGCACCATGCTAAAGCTCCTCTGTCTAAAAAGAGAAGCCAGCAGGTGCTTGCACTGGCTGTTAGTTCCGATGGGCGATACTTGGCCACTGGTGGCTTCGACAGGCATATCCATTTGTGGGATGTTCGAACACGGGAGCACATACAGGTGTGGTACTCATTTGTCGATGATATAAGAGCTAACCATATTATTCAGAGAAATGCTTGCAACTTTGATTTCCTTTTTCTCGAACAAGCACCCTAATGTTTTACATTTCATATTAGAAGAAACTGTCAAGATGCCGCAGAATTTGTAACGGCCCAACCAAAACAAGGCAAACAAAAACTGAAAAATAGAAGGTCCCGACAGAAGCAAACCAAAACAATGATAAAAAGCAAAATTGTACAGCTAGCTAGCAGGAACTATCATGCTTGTAAAAATTGAAAATTGATTTTCTTTATTAATTTGTGTGACGGAATGGGTAGCTTATATTATTTCCATGTATTTGTGTTGTATATCAGAGTCATACTGGCTAATAACCCAAAACAAATCAAGGCAAACCACTTATAGTTCATCCGAGATGTTTCTCTTGAACTGTTATTGCGTTTGCAATGTTATTTAGACAATATAAGCTATCAAACATTGTTTTGTTACTGTGCTCATCGTTTTCCTGGA